GATTAAGTGTCCATCCTGAAATTTGAAAACTCCACTTAACCCCAGACAGATTCCAATTAATATTAACTACTTTTAGGACAAGTTCAGCTCACCACTAACATCTGGTGCAGACCCTAATAAAATACTATACACTCCAACACTGCCTTTTTGATAGCTGAGAAGTATGTAAGAATGTTCTTCATTAAATTTAAATGGACTCATTAATAAAATATTGAGGATATACTACTTTAAGACATCAGAAAAAAGAAAGTATAAATTGGCGATAACGTTATTTCTATTTTTAAATACATCCCACAGAGGCACCAAAGATAGATGAGAAGTGCTAAGCCCATCCCACAAGCTTATTTATCTATTTAATACTTCTTACGTGCTATTTTTAACCGCAGAAGACAGCAAAAGGCATCCATTAGAAAAATTACATTGGTTAGAGTCTTCTTCACACAGGTTAGACAAGCGAGATATCTGGCTGAACGCAGCATTTAGAAGAGATGTGTTTTTTCCTCCCTTTCCTATAGGTTTCTGGAATAAAAAAGCAATTTTATTTTTGCAGCATCAGCTAGGTCATAATCTGTATCTGCAAACCTCTCTCAGTCCTTACTTCCCAGCCCCCTCTTCCCACTCCTCCTCTTCCCGCAAGGTTTAATTTTGTAAGTAATATGCAGTTTGAACGCATACATAACATGCTTACGACACAGGGACCGTTAAAATGTAGATGTTTGGGTTTGGTTTTTTTAAGCCTTGGTTGTACACATAGAAAATAAATGACAGGAAATGCCATAGTATTGCATCATTTTGAAGAAGACCTATTTTGTCAAGAGAGGAAAAAAGTTAGTTAAAAATTTTCCATTTTTTTCGATAGAGTTAAAGGAATTTATCTTAGTTGATGTTAGATTTCCTTAGGAATCAAGATTCTTTGGCGAGCTAAGAAATCAAAGGAAGAATGTCCCATCACAAATACAAGTTTTCACGTACAAAAATGCCAGAGCTACACTATCAAATTATTTACTTCAAAAAAAAAACCACCTTGATTTGATCTCTACATATCATCTTCCTAAATGGTTGCTTTCTTTGGGGAAATACAGAGTGTTTTCATGCACAGCCTGAGCAGCAAATTTTTCCTTTTCCTTGAAGAAACAAAGCCTCAACTCCAAGGAGGCATTCTGGCACTCCCAATCAGGTTCTACCAGGGTTTCTGGTGGACCAAAAGACAAAATTGCATGTAGGCATTTAGGTGTTATTTCAGGAGGCTCTGCAAGCATTTTGATTCTCATCCTAACTTTGCTACAGAAGACACAGCCTGAATTGAATGTGTGTTTGCTGCCTGGCGAGGTAAACAGCTACAGACAATAAAAAGGGTACAAAAGATGAATTTCAGAGGTGAGACAGGTCCCCCCGGCCATGTTTCAGGCCCCCGCGCAGAGCCCAGGGCAGGAAGACAGACCACGCTGTGCAGGGCATGGCACTGCTCCGCAGTGACATGGGTAAATCTAGACAATGCTATATGTCAGGTAAGCACAGAACTGGATACTTAAGAAATCCAGCTGCTGCATATGCATTAACAGCTATTTTCCCTTCTTTTTAAATTTTGCACAAAGGGAGTTTTTTGTAAACAAAACCATGGAGGTTTTTGGTGTCACTCGGAACAAGGACAGTTTGTTTGTTCTACCTGCCTGGAGATAAGCTCAGTTTGCTGAGAGCAGGCATTACTGTGCCCATAAGTGGAAGGCTTTTATTCATAATCTATTCATATGTGGCACTAACAATGCTTGATGACTAAGAAATACTTGAGTTTCTAAAAGAAGTAGCTTTCTCTGTAGTGGAAAGGTCACATTGCATAGAGAACTACGCAAGCAGCTGATGCACAAGACAACTATCACCAGCAGAAAGCTGAATAAAAAGCAAGTAACACAATTTTGTGAGTACAAAAATCACTACTAAACTCGAGATCCTGGATAAATATTCAAAACATTCTCTGTATTTGGAATTCGGCCTCAGGCCAGGCCTGGCTTGAGCAACAGAGCCTCTAATACAAGTTTGATTCCTGACTTATTCCTGAAATATTCTGAATATTCTGCATGTGGGCCTTAGAAAGCAGACTACAGTCTGCCAGTAGTAGGCAGGACCCCATGCAAATTATCTGCTGAAAAGCCAAATTTAAGAGTTCACATACTTCTTCACCCTTAAGTATTGCATTCAATGACATTAAAAGGCTAATTTCCAGGGCACAGCATCCATCCTACATTCCTCAGGCTGCCCAAAGAGAAGAAATGCGAGTTATCTGCCCAGTTGCAGATTTTTGCTTGCAACCAGAAACTGCTGGGACTTAAAGCCTGAAACATGCTTATGAAGTCTGAGCTTAATAAGCAGTTACTCAAGAAACTAAGAAACACTGTTTTCAAACTTGGGAGTGTTGAAACTATACATTACACATCCTCTCTTCTTGTAAGTGAGGAACACAGACATACAAGTCACTCCATCTCAGAACCCAAAGACAGACTTCAGCTTCCAGGTAGGCTTAAACTGCTTAAACTTTCCCACTTGAATAAAATCCTCCTTTGCAATTACAAGTTGTTATGCCACTCTAACAAGAGGAAGTAGAGACCCAATATGTCAAACAGCTTCTTTGCATGACCTGATGCCATAAATTTAATGTTTCCCCTGGAAGTGCTGTTCATCTGTACACTTGTGCAACACGTAAACTGAATACATAATCTAACGCGGTCAAAAGAGCTCATTACAGGAGTCTCATCAAATTCCATAACCACATTATACAAACAATATCCCTCTCACTGCACAATCATGCTCGTGATTTAAATTTTCTTTTACTAAAAGAATTATGTTTCCATCAGTCTTCTGTGTACGGTCACAAGCAGATTCAGACTCTCACTGCAGACAGTGAACATTCACACACTAAGAGACAATTCTTCAGGCTAAGCTAAAGTCTGATCTGGAGAGCAACTCACATAAGCAGTCAGAGACCATAGTGGAAGGTGATCTGTATTTTGTTAAACCTGCCCCATATATAACACGAATCTTCCTGACCTCTACTGTTTTTATTTTAGCAACTAAGCAAAACAATGCAGCCACTACCTTAGGTCTGCAAATACTCAATCTCCAAGATATTAATTACTTCCATTTATCTGAATAGTGACTTAAAATTATCTATAACTTCAGTTATCCATTTTGCCAGACCTATACAATTCCCCCCAGCTTACAAGCTTCTTCTGGGACATTTTCAGCAATGTAGGTGTTTTGGAAGGACAAAAATCCAGCAACATTATCAACTGAGAAGGTGAACATTCTGTTGTTTTCTGGACACAGAATAAATATAATATGCTATTTAAAAATACAGTATTGATATACAAAATCAAGAAGCCTGGTAGGTAATTCAGGACTTCCAGATTCTGACCAGTTTCATGAACTAGTGCAAGGAAAGAAATAAGACACACAAACACAGGCAGAAAGAGGTCTTCTGATACCAGTTCCATGGTAGACAACTTGACTCCTTCCTCTCTCTTTTGAAAATCATATTAACTCACAGCAGGGAAATTATTTTTCTCTCTCCAAAGAATTGGGCCTAGAATGTATACTGACCTCCAACAGGTCTGGCAAAGAGGAGATCCGAGATCTCCTTGGCATTGGGAGGTTCTAGAAATAACTGACAGATTCCTCTTTAAGACTACAGCTACTACAGAAAACATTTCCATATGCATAACCACCCCTGACAAAAACTCCCTCATCATCAGTCAAACCAGCAAAACACAAACCTCCTTGAAAACAAACAATGATCTGGATGACAACAATACTGTACATGAATTATGGAAAAGTCAGGTTGTGTTGCAGCACTGCAAGTTTCCACCTCTCGGCGATGTTTCAGAGATCCTGACTGCTCAAGAGTGGGGAAAACAACACGTTAAGCCACAACTACTAGTAATATTTCACACTTTAGGATGGGAAAAGACGGACCAATCCCCAAATCCACCCCTTCCAAACTAAATACATGATCAACTGTGACTTCTTAGTGGGGGGGGGGGGAAAAAAAAAAAAAAAAAAAAAAAAATCAATCTTATGAAAACTAGTTACCCTGGAAAGCAAGGTACAGAATTTGCCAAATCATTATTTGATGCAAGCCTCTTCATGCCCCTTCTGGAAGAGAGCACACCAACGAGAGCCTAACCAGAACACATACCTGCTTCAGTTTAGTGCGCCTTGTTATGGGTTGGTGGTTGATTTTTTTTTTTTTTTTTTTTTTTTTTTGGGGGGGGGTTTTGGGGGGTTTTTTGGTTGGTTGGTTGGTTTTTTTCAATTTCATCCTGATTGTTTCAGGTTACTGACGTGACAAATCCATTCAATATATTTTATTTTTTTTTTAATAGAGAAATTGAACTGTATTTCTATTAGGAATAAAGGGAACTGATTAATTTCAGAAGGAGAATTTCAGAATTCAGAACAACAGAATGAACGGGAAAGCATCTGAAGTAAGTGCTTACAGTTTATCGTATATAAGATCTTACAGCAGATTACCAGCATCAGGTTTTCGGCAAAATTTTTCATACTCTTCAGAAAAGAAACTTTAAAATCCCCAACAATTCAGGGTGCCAAAGAAACTCGTAAGATCGGGGCCTAGGTGAAATCTACTCCCTTACAAAAGGAGGCTGTAAAAAAATTAAGAAAATCATTCCTTTGAGCATCCAGGTGTTTCAAGAGATTACAGAAAGTCACCAGCATTGCCTACAGAGATCAGACACTAACTGTGCATTAAACCACGTACCAGATCATAAATTCAAATTTAGGTAAATATAGAAAGGCAGCTTTTCTCAGTCCCTCTGCACACTAACATGACTTTGCTTTGAAACATCAAATAGGAAGACACGCATACTGAAATACAGGTATTTAAAACTATTGCATACATATCTCAATTGATTTTCACATTGAAAACACATTTGCCTTAACCTACTGTTACACTTCTCACAGGCCACATCCGTCTTAGATGAACCTACCATGTGGTAGTGTTATGTTTGCACCATCAATGATTGCTTGTGCCAGTTCGTGATCATTGCTCTCGAAAGCATGCGCAGCAGCCTTGAGGGCATCCCAAATCTCCTTGCGACCTTCGAAAGCTGGCGCTGTGTCCCAAAACTCATCTCTCTTACTGCGCAACTGTCCGTCTGTCATGGGGTAATCACTTTTCCATTTTGGTTTCTCTTTTTTCAAGGGCTGATTACGACCGAGAGCAACTGTGGAGGAGAAAGAGGAAGGGAAATTAAAAAAGGTAATAACACAAAATTACTGAAGTGCCTTTTGGTTATTCTGTTCAGGATCTATGGAACTAAAGTTTACTTTCAGGCAATCCTGATCGTTTTCTTCCATCTCTTCTGAGGCATCACCTCCCTTCCCCTGTGCTCCAAGTTGGTTTTACCTCTTAGAAAAATTGAGGGGCTACCTCCTGCTTGTTGATTTCACCTGCACCCTTGAGCACCCCAAAACTTCTCCCCAAGGTCCCCAGTAACTCCGCATCCCTCTGCCTGTGTCGTGTGTGCCTGGTTGGGAGACTCACACCCAACACAGACATCTTCCAAAGGCTGTAGCACTGGTACAGCGAGATGCCCGTTATCCCAACACCGGGGTGCAGTGAGACCACAGTGCATTTGGATCTCTGCTCTATGCTGCTGGCAATGGTCTCTGCTCAAGAAACACGATGACAAAAAAAAAGAAAGAAAAAGAGGTTACAGATTTTTTTTTTTTTTGCATCATCTCCTCTTAAACAGTTTTAATTCAGAGTAAGTACATGTAGAAAGGCAAATCAGATGCACAAAGGCTAGAACTGTCAGAGACATAAAACCCTAAAGAATAATCTAGGAATCTATCAAGCTTTAAAAAATGGTTACCTCATGCACAATAAACACGAAAACATTTGTTTCATTTTAACTACAGCTGGTTTTGTGTAATAGCCAGTTAAGATAATCACATATGTGTAACGTTGATGGATCCAAACTACCTGCTACTTTACATTACAGCATTGCTAAGATTGCACTAAACTCTTTCCTTCCATTTGTGTGAGTAAGGGGTTATTTCAACTTTGGTTGAAAGGAAAAGGAAAAAGAAGGGAACAAACTTCAGTCCACACTGGGAAGAACTTCTTCTTGCAAGAGTTAAATCTCCATGTCCTTCAGTCCCTCCTGGCAGCAAGAAGCTCAGAAGCTCACTGCAACAGGACCCTGCGAGGACAGTATGGGGAAGAGAGCAGCAACAAACCACGAAAACAGTTTTCACCATGGCTCAATACTGCAAAACCGTGAATACATAGTTTAAATGTCTCCAGAGGAAATGAAGTGCCCTTCAACAGTTAAACTAAATTTAACTGTGTCTGCAGCTGAAAATAAGCAGCCCCTCCATGGGACAGGTCATAGAAACTTGGTGATGAGTACTGAATGCTCTTGAAAGATGGGTAGGCCACACAGGACTGCGGTCAGTTAAAGATCCCACCACATATGATGCTGGAGAGCGATCCCCTCCTATGCTCTCTGTGAAGAGCCCCTGCCATATCAAGAGAGCAGAGGAACCCCAGCTGCCATCAGCCCAGGGAAACATGAAGAGATGGAATCTGTCATCCATGTCCACATTACCAAGGCCAAAATCTCTCTTACAAGAATAAGACGCCACAGCTGCTGCGGTATCAAAGCCTGTGGAGCAAAGCTTCTGCTTATCAGGTGCTCCTGGCTAGTCTGCAAGGATGGGAGAGCACCAGGACTAACACAAGGGTTTACATTTAACATTCCGTATCCTATGTACATCCTTAGAGACAAGAAAAAACATTTCCCTTCTCCAGATCCTCATATTTTTCCGGTAGAAAGTTGACAATAGCTGACAAAAAAACTTGTATCTCTCCTGAATCTTACGCCAGTGTTGAGTTTTCAATGGAAGAATAGTGTACTGTTTAAATATTCTTCATAGTTCTTAATCTAGACTTACACTGTATCTCTACAGTTAACTACAAACCATATTTATGGCAAAGAGAGTGTGTGGGGGTGAGGGACGTGACTGAGAAGTGTCAATATATCAGAAATACGCATTTCAGGTAAGCTGTAACATTTTGCAAAAACAGTATTTAATTCAAATATTTCTTCTCCTTCCTTGATTTTTTCTGCCACATACGCACTCAGCTGTTTTCAGAATAGCACTCGACACCAAGCACTGAGTCTCAGGTTTGACCATCAGTGCCTGGTGTTGCAGCAGGCATTTCAACTTCACACAGGCTTTAAGGAGACTAAAACACATACACAATGTTAAACCTTGTGCCTTTCTACAATCTGACTTTATATGACCAAAGAACTACCTGCTTCATTTTATAACTCAGAATGACATTCAGGCTTAAGCAGCCAAGACTTAAGTAATTAAAAATAGGATATTTAAAACAACTCCTGATGGTAAGGTGACATTGCCTACTATGTGAAGGCGTGAGCCTTCTTCAGATTAAAAAAAAAACAAATCCAACATAGTAGAGGATATATTTGCATGGAAACAAAGTCAGATCATAATTAAAAGGAGCAAACGACAATTACATGGCACACATGCAATGACTCCAGCTGTTATTCTGTGTCCCATGCAGAAACTAACAATAATAAACTTCTGAATCCTTTTAAGTGACCACAAACATTTATTGCTTTTTGTTTCCATGGGATTGCTTCCATGAGATTGCTTCCATTTGCTTTTCAAAGAAGTGCTGACCATTTAACAGATTTCAGAACTGCAAACGCAAGTGTTTACAAAACACCAAGTTTCCTGGCAAAGCCCAGCCGTTGTTAGTCCAAGTCTCAGCTTAGCACACGCAAGCTGGGAGCTGATGATGGTCCAGCCTAGAACAATGGAGAAGGAGGCAGCCCAGACAAGATGGACTGCATGCATTAAACATTACATTATGAAATTGTAAAAAAATATGTGGTAAAGCACTTAAACAAGGAATTGTTTCCTTATTAAGACTTAGCAGTCAGAGCATGAAAATTTCAGACAGAACGAACAGGACACTGTAAGAAATTTGGGTCAGTGGGCATCTTTTCTTCCATTCTACTTTGGCTAAAATCTGTTTGCATGTACATTCAATAAATGCTAATTTATCCCACAGGGCCCTCTCCTTCTCCCCAAACATTAATTATGAAAGCAGGTTAAAGGCACTTCCCGCAGTCCCCGAACACGGCAGTGTTTCCTCCACACAGACCTGCCTGCCCATTATCCAGCACCACAGGACAGACTACAACATGCCATTTCTCTCCCCTGCCTTCCCCCTTTGCTCAAGACAGCACCCAAATATTGCTCATCACTAGACAAGAGGAGCAGGGGAGAAACAAAAGACCAGAGACCTTAACAGTCTCAAATAACTTCTCCCTGGAGATACAATCCTTCCTACACAGGCAGCAGTAATGATAAACCCAGTGATAAATTCTTTTTTTTCAAGTTGGAAAGAAGGATGGTGGAAGAAAGTGAGTCTACAAATGCCTCTAAAGCCAAATCCACTCTAACAAGCCATCCATCCCAGTACTAAGCCTTTAAACACAACTTGGCTTCGCAAGCCAGTATTTAAAAAGGTCTTTAGTGCACTTACCATTCATTAGAAGTACTTCAAGAATCTCCTAAAAGCTTTTAGGCCCCCCTCGAAGAAATATTAATCTCTCTAGCTGTGTGGATAGCTGGAACGCAGAAGGGATATAAGAAACTTAAGACATGTAAAAAACCTAACATGTACAAGGGCCCAAATCTTTCACTTTCCACCTTATGCTTACTCACTAAAGAGAAACATCACTACACAAATTTCTACAATCAAAGTTTTGGACCGCATCAAAGTACTTTCCCTTTAATGTAATAAGGCTGATAAAGACTAGTCAGAATAGGCAATAAAACAAACATCAGCAGTCTAAAACACTTTGTCAGGTATTTACAGTGTCAGTTTTATATTCCTCACTTTGGAAGTAAACTAGAGCTTAAATGAAAACGTTGACTTAACATTTAAGACCACACACATCAGAGGCACAACCAGCTTGCAAGGTCTGGAAGAGAATGTAACATCCACATTAATTTTTCATCTTACATTACTTCAACATAAGTAAGAAATTATTAATATCCTGCTTGAAAATATGGATAGTTTTATAAATGCCAAGAAGGCGTGTTCTCTCTGAAGCAATACTGAAAGTTGCCTATCTCAATAGATGGCAATGGTTGATATTTTTGGCAAGAGATATATTTAGAAGGAAATATGAAAACCATTAACAGCCTACTTTACAAAAAGGAAAAGACTGGCACATTAGTGACACTCCAAAATAATTTAGTTTGTTCTTACTCCAACAGCTCGCAAGTATTCAGGTGGTGTTGCACATCCCAAAGAGGGGCAAAGAGTTGCTGACAAGCTGCAGGACCTTGCTGGAGAGCAGCCTTTCTCAGGGAGGAGAACCACACCGGCCACTACATGGTCTTACAAAGGGTTTTCCCGGGCGGCTCAGAGGGGTTACTGCAAAGTGATTTCAGAGGCTCTTTATCCTCCTGGATGTTGGACCTGTTCCAGCCAGAGAGTTGCCTTAAAGATGCCTCCTGCACTGTTCTGCTCTAGTTTGAACTACACTACTATTTGCATGGTACACAGAGGACAAACACCAAATATAATTTTTAGGACTTGTCAAGGTCCATTCAGGTTAACAGCAGGAGCAATAGCTAACAAGTTAAGAAGTCCTGATAATTACTAGTTGCATAATGAACTTCCAAGGGCTCAGCATGCTTAGGAGAAGAATCCCAAACCTATCTAGTTAGGCACTTCAGCAGACAGCGAGGACCAGGACAGCAGACAGGATGGCAGTGATGTGCAGCAGGCTGGAGAAGCGGGCAAGCAGAGACAGAAGTCTGGTCTGGACTCAGCATCCACCCGCCTGGTACCTCTGCCGTTCAGGTGTCCCTACACACGTGAAATCCAAGAACTGCTCAAGCCCCCTTCCCTAGTCAAGCATCCCTTATTAGACTGCTTAATACCTCAAAGTGACCTAAAACACAGTGACAGACAAGCAGTAGGCTGTTTCTGTCCCATCAGTAGGACTTAGCAGCACATAACGTGTCTTCCCTTCACAGGTAGATGAGTACCCCAGGATCCCAGAGGTAGCTGCTACTGTCTGATCCACTGATCTTAGTTCCCAGCAACTTACAAAGTCTTATTTTTCAGAAGGAAAGACTTATTTCTCCAGTCCTTGCAGATCG